ATTATTGTTATTTTTAAAATTTGCTATAAAGCACATGCGTGTGATAGAGAGAGAGAGAGGGAGAGAGAGAGAAAGTGAGAAAGAGAGAAAGCAAGCTGCCTAGTCTGGGTCTCAAATCACGGTTGGCCACATGGGAGACCATTACTCTAATCACCACGCCACCTGTTGGCCCCTGTTTCTAGATTTCAACACAACATGGAATGCACAGAAAATGTTTACGTAAACGTCAAAAAAAGAATTTATTTTTTAATATTGCATCCTTGAGTCTATTACTTGCTAAAAAACACAATGCACAGGATACATGAAGGGACTTCAAAATGTTCATGGAAATACTGAATTAAAGTATGAGTTTATTTTGTTGCAAAATACTTTTGAAATCTATGCCTACTTTTTTCATAATCTCCATTTTCGTAAACTTTCAAAATATCCTTTTTCTACTTAACTAGTCTTAGTCATTTTTTGATGTTCATTCAGCAAGATGTCCAAAATCTGTTTTGTTTTAATTATTTTATTTATTATTATTACTTTTCATTTGACGAGAGAGAGAGGAAGAAGATGAGAAAGCAAGCTGCCAGGTCTAGGACACGAAACGTGTTTGGCCGTGTGGGAGTCCAGTGCCTCAATCGCCACGATACCTGCCTAGCCCCCACAATTGTTTTTTAATAAGTCAACAATTATGCCCTCTAAAGATGGGTTCTAGCACAGGCAATGTAAGCTAAACATTTAGCAGAGTTTCTGGAATTTAATTGGTATTGAATTAAAAAGTAGCTTTACTTCCTTTCTTCCTGATGGTAAATAATTACTAGTAAGGCTATCAGGCTTTTTGATATTAGTAGACTCAATTTTTATTTTCTACTAATAATTTCACTACAAATCAAACATATAATAACACTACAAAAAATGTTTGGCACGTATGTTCTTATTTAATCAGCACAGAAACTCTAAGGTAGATGTGATGATTATTCCTATTTTTAAATGAGGAAATTATGGTATAAAGAAATAAATTTGCCCAAGGCAATATGGCTGGCAATCTTGAGTTTAGGATTCAGCACCAGAAGTCAGATTTTTTTTTTTATTGAGAGACTTTTGCTATAGGGCATGTGCGCTCGTTGGAGACACAGAGAGTGAAGGTGAGAAATCACTCCCTAGGGGAGATGGCCACACTGCAGTCCCTTTTCCTGCATTCTCCTCTTAGGATTTTGAGCACCCACACACATGTGCCCAGTATGAGTTTCAAGCCACCAGGTCAGGGACTTGAACTTCGGTGGACCATATGGGAGTCTAGCACCTTAACCACTACACTACCTGCTGGCACTGAGATTTTTAAAAAAGTTTATTTATTGATACTTCTCCTAAAAGTGAGAGAGACTGATAGAGAGAGAGACAGTATCTTCAAGAGGATCCTGATGTCATGAGTCACCTACAGCTTTAGCTACCCCTGGATCATGGGCATATCGCCTACTGCACTGAGAGAATCTCTAAATGATAATGACCAATAACACAAACCTGAAACCCTCTCATGTGGGTCAGCTTCAGGGAGCATGGCATTTTACTGGTCAATACCATCTGGCTCTGAGTTCACAGTTTTTTGTTTTATTTTTTGTGAGATTTTTTTTTTTGTGCTTGCTGGAGAGACAGAGACAGAGACAGAGACAGAAAGTGAGAAATTACCCCTCAGGAAGGATGGCAATGCTGCAATCTCTTCTTCTCCATTTTCCTCTCGAGATTTTGGGCACACATACTCATATGCCCAGTGTGTTTTAAGCTGCCAGGTCTGGGACTGGAATTGCAGGTGACTACAAGGGAGTCCAGTGATACAACCATTGCGCCATCTGCTGGTCCTGAACCTACAGTTTTTAATCAATTACCTTGTTCTGGGGCAAGCCCCATAGCCTATTGGTTAAGGGATCTGGATCTCATATGGCTGACCTTAGTTCAAGTTCTGGCACCCAGTGTCTTGGGAACACACTGGGTACATGTGCATGTGTGCCCCAAATCTCTACAGAATGGAGATATAAAGGAGAAGTGATTGCAATGTGAACACACCCCACTGAGGGGTGCTTTCTCTCTCTCTCCCTCTTTTCAGCACCTGTATCTTTAGGCAATTGTTTTGTCTCTCACTGGAAAGAATCATTATTGAGTTTCATTACCCATCGCTCTTGCTTTAGTACTTGTTTTCCCAAATTCTTTTGGATGTAGCCTAGCTATTGGCACTTTTTGAGGCCCTTTAATGGCCACCATCAAAGCTATCATTTTATAATTTAAAGACCTCCAAAGAAGCTCTAGTTAATCTAACTCAGAGAGAAATGGGCTAAAATAAACTTTGTGCCTATTCAAAAATCCAAAAGCTCTATAGGTTAATGTTTATCATAAACATACATAAACTTAGCTTTGAAACATGATGAGTAAAACTTATTTCCAACTACTGAAGTCAACAACAATTAGGACATTCTTTTCAACTGAAAGAATCTCAAGCAATCATATAAAATATAGATTAAATATCTACAAAAAGACCACACCTAATTCTATAAATACTTCTACTTCAAGTGAAGTTTCAAATTAGTTACAAAAAAAGCACTCCAAGCCTCAGCATGCTTTCTTAGCCTTGAACAGTCTTATCTTGGGACAAAAACTAGGAAGTAAGAGTTAGATAAAAATCATATTACTACAAGCTTCCCTTATTGCAGACAAAGGAAAATGGTAAAAATATTGACAAAGAAAAGGCCAGATATACTACTCTTTTTTTTCTCCAATTTTAAAAAGCAAAGAGAAGAAACAAAAAGAATGCTGAAGAATGAAGAGGCAAAACAATATGCAGAAAGAAACTAAGTTGAGTTTATGGGGGAATTCAGTAACATCTGCTAAATAACAAAGTTTTTTTTGTGCTTGTCTTTTAGATATGTACTTGATTTTGAAGGCCACAGAACAGAACATTCTCGTGGGGAGAGGCTACTCTATCCAAGAATGTTACTGTCCTGGTGTTTACATGGCTAGTACTAGTCAGAGGATTAATGTCTGTTATAGATCACCAAAAGATCAGATTAACAACCATTTCACTGATTAAACTGGTTCATGGCTTTGAGATTCCTCCACTAAAAGCATTCTATGAGCAGAGAGGAAGTTCAAAGAAATGCCTGGGAAAATTAAAATGTATATACCTCTGTATAAAAATATCCAAGCATTTGGAAAACATTTTTAAAAATTCTTAGAAATTTAAAATCAGTCTCTCTGAGCAGGGAATAACATAAATTCATCAGGAAAAAATGAAATAAACAGATAATTGTCAACAAGTGTGAAATTTAGTATTAGAGGGCCAGCCTGTGGCCTAGTGTTGAAGTGGCTGGATCCCACATGGTCAGCCATGTAGTTCAAGTCCCAGATCTAGCAGCTTGGGAAATATGCTAGGCACGTGTATGTATGCATTCCCAAAATCCCAACAGGAGGGAGAGATGGAAAAGAAGGAATTGTGGTATGACCATGTCCCACTGGGGAGGGGGTGCTTTTTCCTTTTCTGTCTCTCTCTCTTTTTTTCTGTCCCCAGCAAGCTAAATACACACACACACACACACACACACACAGTATTAAAATCTCACCTTATTTCAGAAAAGATTTACGGTAAAGACAGAAAATATTCACAAATGAAAACAAAACCAAAGATATATTAAAAGTTTAAATGAGAGGTATGTTCAGACATTAAATCATATCCCTCATGTGGATTTTTTGTCTTTTTAACTTTATTTATTTCTTCTATGAATCAGAGCGAGAGACAGGGAGACAATAAAACAGCATCCCCAACAGAGTCTCAAGGACACCATCCATTCCCTACCTCAGCCAGCGGATTATGGGCACATATGGGCTCAGGTATTTAGGGAGGTCTCCAGATATGAACCTAGACCTTCCCAGGTGGTTCAGCCTTGCAGAACAATGCATTTTTCTGCTGCTCCATTGTCTGCCCACTTAAGTAGACTTCTGTATTCTGGATTAAGGAAAATTGGGAAATGTGTAGCAAAGTGCAGACACACAACAGTTTTGAGTAGAGGGGATAAGGGCATCAAGTTGGAATGGGAAATCTCTTAAGTTGTTTCACTGTGTTTTGGATCTTGTAGCTCCCTAAGAGTACAAAGGCTAAGGAATTTTGTTCCATGGCAGCCTTCCCAAGTACTACCCCTGAAAGTCACGAGATGTAAAAACTGGTTTTGACGACTCAGCTGGAATGAGAGTAACTCTATTTCTGAAAAGAAATTACCCTGGCAGGAAGCTATTTGCTCCTGCACGGTGAGCTTCGGTGACAGAAAGTGAGGGGAAGGGCTCCAAATGATTACTAGCTTTCAGAGTAACCCAATACACCTCAGCTTCAAAAGAACTGCAGAGGTGCCAATCTGAGACATTTCTGCTACTTGCCCCCAAGACTCACTCCTCGAGATTACTCCTTGATCCACCTATTTTTAGTTATTTCAGAGGTATGATTGATCATTTCTATGAGGCAGGCAGACCTGCCAGCTAGACTGATGTTATCTGAGTTCAGGACTTTTTCGATGAGGGCAAAGAGATGGCTGCTTTATGAAATATGGAGTGAAAAACTTAAGCTGTGCCCATGGATGAAGACTAGAGAAATGAATTTCTTCTTCTCAAACATGTCCTCAAGTTATCTAGCTTTTACCTCTCCTTTTCAGTTTTAATTTGGTCTATTGTTCTGATCCTGGGACACTATATTCATATAAAAGAAAGATTTGGCAAGATGAATGCCAGATACAAAGAATGGGACCCTAAATCCTTGTTTTCTATAAGTTGTATGTTCAACGCCAAAATTTTGGGCTTGGTTTTGTCAGAAAAACATACTATAAGAATTCTAACAGATTTTTGCTGCTCAGAACCAAAAAAGCATGAATTGAAATGATCTGAAGGAAAGATTGTATAAAAAATTGATGAGAATGAACTCAATGTAGAATATTTTCCAACGATTTTAAAATAAAATAGGAATAATTCAATTAAACACTAACCTGATATAACATGGCTTTAAATGCCAATTGTCTTAATTTCATGGTTAAAGTTTCTCCTGCTCTTCCATAAAACAATCCCTGGAAAACAAGAAGAAGAAAATCTACATTTATTCTTGATTTTCTCTTCTATTTCTTTGTAACATTTAGTTATTATACTTTTAAGTCAGTAAAGGGGAGACATCAAAAAGCAATCACAGTTGTTTTTGCTTAAAGTTTACCTGCATGAAATAACTGACAAAGCAAATAACACCCAAAATGACAAATATCATGGAATAAGTTTCTGCATCATGCTTTAATGTGGCTTTATCATCATCTTCAAACATCTGCAAAGGAATAGGTTTTTCATCAGGTGTTTGTAGGAAAATATAAAAGAAACAGTAAAAAACTAAGATGTCTATATATAGCAGAATTTTTGAAATAAATTTTAACGTAAGAGCAAGACTATATACATATTTCTGTGTGGGGCAGTACCCTGTTATTTTAACATCTGCATTCATTACATATGATAGAAAATAATTTACTATGAATTCTCTCAAACTATATAAATATTGTATCAGAAAAATAAATCCTGTTATTAACATCACCATATATATGTATTTTAAATAATTATTTTTAAATTTAACTTTATTTATTCATTCATTTTATTTTATTGACCAGAGAGAGGCCGTACAGAGAGAGAGGGAGAGAGTGGGAAAGTGAGAAAGGAATGAGACAGTGAGAAAGCAAGCCACCAGGTCCAGGACTCAAACGGTGGTCGGCCATGTGTTTGTGTTAGTATTTGTTTGTGTTAGTATTTACTTACTTTTATATTATTATTATTATTAGTGTTTTGCTAAAGGGTACATGTGCTTGCCAGAGATAGACAAAGGACAAAAAAGGTACTCCATGGGGAATAGTCACGCCACAATCTATTTTCTGCACCTTTCCCCTCTTTGGGAATTTTGGGTATGGATACACATGTGCTTGGCTTGTTTCTCAAGCTGTCAGGCCTGGGACTTGAACCATGTAGTCAGCCATGTGGGACCTAGCTGCTTTACCCATCAGGCTCACCTGTGTTATTGCTAATAGCTTTCAGTAACTCAAGTTTCTTAAGATTCCCATGCCTAAAGTAGTACCTGCAGTGTCAGGCCTTTACATGTGACCCTAAAGAATTGTTCCTCAAAGTAATAATTATACATATACTGGCATTTATATTGACAGTAGTTAGGAAAATAAGGGAGGCTGAAGGCCTAATACGGATCTGGAAAGACCCCTGAACTCACCAATTCTTCTGAGTCTTTTGGCACAATCCTAAACTCTTGTTATTTCCTCTCCCTGAGCTAGCTACTAAAAAATTGCCATTGTTCCAACTAGTTGAAAGGAGACTAGTCTTATTTGTCTATTTTATTGCTTCAGTGCTTTGGAATGCTGATATGGCACTGGAGTCACAGTTAGAAAACAAAGCAATTTCTTTGATGAGCGCCCAGTCAACATGGGAGAGCCAAACACTTCACAATAGATGCCGAGTTATCTCCTGAGAACACTCATTAACCTTTCTTTCATAGATCCCCCACTGGGGGTGACTGCTGAAAGTTCCAAATTTCACCTTTGTGATCAGAGTGGTACCAGTCTGTCCTCTCAGGCTGTACTTTATATATCTATGTATTAAAATAGCAAATTAGTTTTACTTACAGTGACGATTTTTGAAAAGATGATGGAAAATACTGGATGGACAGTCCCATTTAGAGCAGAAGCCAATGTCCCCAGAACCACAAAAGGCCATTCAGATTTGCATAATTTAAAAACTTTTAATAGAGGAACTTCAGGAAGCTTTGCCTATTAAAAAAATATCTTGGTTAAAAAAATCCCAGTTTGTGAGCATGATTGAAACTAGAGGAGTTAGTCAGTCATAAACAGAACCGTGATGTAAAATATCAATATGACAGGTAACAGGGTAGAAAAGATTTTTTTTCCTTAGAGATAGGGCACTACCCCTATTACTAGTAATGACCCTAGAACATAAAATAAGAAGGATAAAAAGGGACTGTTCAATGTTACACTTTGGCATTTTACTCAGTTTGTCATCATTTCAAAAGTATAAATTAATTTACATGTTCTGATGGCTAAGCCTCACAGAAGATATTTTTATTCTTATTAAACCAGTTTTTCAATTTCATACTCTAGAATAGGGTAAAATCTAGCTGACAACTAGCAGAGGAAGTCCAAAAGGCAGAAATTTTACTAAGATTTGTAAACTTGAAAGTTTTCCAGTTTCATGATTTATATACAAAAATATTTTAAAATGTAGCTAAAAAGTTGTTTTATTTTTATTTTTAAAATTTTTCTGGAGAGGTCTTTGCTATAGGGTGCGTGCACTCGCCAGACAGACAGAGAGAGACAGAGAGATAGAAAGTGAGAAACTACCCCCCAGGGGGGATGGCCATGCCACAATCCCTTCTCCTCCATTCTCCTCTCGGGATCTTGGGCATGCACGCACACACGCCCGGCATGAGTTTTAAGCCACTGGGTCCAGGACGCGAACCACCGTCGACTACGTGGGAATCCAGCGACATAGCCATTATGCTAACTGCTGGTCCCCAGTTATTAAGGACCCACATGGGAAAGCCTTCTCTCAGACCAGAAAAGATGTTTTGAGGTTTATATTCCCAAGTAAAATGCTGCAGTATCAGAGCTAATATTAAACTCACCAAGTCCATTTCCTCATCTTTCCAGTGATGGTATCAATTCTTATTTTTAGAATTAAGCTTAATAGGCCAGAAGGTGGTGTGGCGAAGGTGCTGGACTCCCATATGACTGACTACAGTTCAAGTCTTAGACATGGCAGCTTGAAAATCAGGCCAGACATGTGTACATGCATTCCCAAAATCCAAGGAGGAGAATGGAGGAGACATTGTGGCATGGCCATACTACCCAGGAGATGATTTCTTATTTTTCCTCTCCCTATCTCTCTCTGGTAAGTGCATGTGACCTATCTCAAAAAAACGAAAAGAAAATAAAAATTAGTCTTAACTTGGTATTCGCAAAAAATAAGCATCCAATAAAGGTTAGCAGCAATTGCTGTTACTGATATTATTAGGAAGGAAGGATTACACAAAATCCAGGAGTTCTGTTTTGTTTTGTTTGTTTATTTATTCATTCATTGGTTTATTTATTTATTTGCCATAGGGCATGTGTGCTTGCCAGAGAGAGATAGTGACAGGGAAAGTGAGAAATTACCTCCCCAGGGGGAATCGCCATGCCACCATCCCTTCTCCTCCACTTTTATCCTGGAATTTTTGGGCATGCACGTACATGTGCCTGGTGTGATTTTCAAGTCACTGGGTCCAGGACTCAAACTATGGTCGGCCATGTGGGAGTCCAGTGCCCTACCCACCATGCTACCTGTTGAGCCCCTCCTTCATTTTCTCTTTTTATTTGCCACAGGGCATGTGTGAGTAAGAGAGAGAGAGAAAGAGAGAGAGAGAGAGAGAGAGAGAGAGAGAGAGAGAGAGAGAGAGAGAGAGAACACCTCATAAATAGGGTATGGTTATGTCACAATCCCTTCTTCTCCACTTTTTAAAAAATAATTATTTTATTTATTATTATCACTATTTTTGAATTTGACCAGAAAGAGAGAGAGAGAGAGAGAGAGAGAGAGAGAGAGAGAGAGAGAGAGAAAGCGAGAAAGCAAACTACTAGGCCAGGACACAAAACACGGTTGGCCAGGTGAGAGTCCAGCCCCTCCACTTTTCTATACAGCTGGGATTTGGGGCATGCACACACACATATGTCTAGTGTGCTTTCTGTGCTGCCAGAGCTGGTTTTAGAACAGCAGTTGGCCATTTGTGATCCTACTCCTTTAAATACTGCATTATGGGGGCCAGCACCACATAATCCTAGGTTTTAAACAGAGAAAGCACAAAGCAAGTAGCTATTCTGTATCTGCCAGTCCTTCCTGGGCTACAATGAATTAATGGTTGTGGTGGTCAAAGCACAGTTAATACAGTAATGATCTCTCCTTGCTCTGGTCTGGCATATGCAGTGAGCTTATTTCAGAAACTTTAAAAAACAGTTATGAATACATTTGTTGAGTAATTCTTATTTTTAGAAATTTTATTTCATTTATTTCTATTATTACTTTTGAATTTCACCAGAGAGAAGGGGAGAGAGAGAGAGAAAGAGAGAGAGAGAGAGAGAGAGAGAGAGAGAGTGAGAGTCAGAAAGCAAGCTGCCAGGTCTGGGACTTGAACCTCAGTTGGCCATGTAGGAGTCCAGTGCCTTAACCATGCCACCTACTGGCCCCCGAGTAATTATTTTTAATAGGAAAGAAGACACTGAAATGTTGGTATTTCATACAGTAAACTTCTTTGTGGCATTCGTTCTTAAAGTAATGGCATTTATGAACCAAATAACCAGAGAATTCCTTAAGGAAGACTATAAAATAGTTTATAATTCTAGTTCTAATCTTCATGTGGCAAGTATAGTGCAAACTTTATTGTATGGATAACAGGACTTTAAAAATTCTTAAGCTTTCAAAGTCTGTTTTCAGGAGGAGTACACCACAGTTATATTAGGTTGCTTAATAGTTTGACTGGGGACCAGCAGGTGGCATAGTGGTTAAGGTGCTGAATTCCCACATGGTTGACTGCAGTTTGAGTCTAGGCCCTGGCAGCTTGAAACTCATACCAGGCATGTGTACATGTGTGCCCAAAATCCTGAGAGGAAAATGGAAGGGAAAGGATGGCAGCATGGACTCCCCAGGGGGATGGTTTCTCTCTTTCTCTGTCTCTCTCTCTCTGTCTCTGGTGAGTGCATATGCCCTCTAGCAAAAATCTCTCAAAATAATAATAATAATAGTAGTTATTATTATTATTATTTTACTGTTTGAGTCAGCAGGTGATGTGGTGGTTAAGGCGCTAGACTTTCACATGGCTGACTGCAGTTTGAGTCCTGTACCTGGCAGCTTGCTTTCTCACTTTCCCACTCTCTCTCTGTGCCTCTCTCTAGTGAGTGCACGTGGCCTATAGCAAATTTTTAAAAATTTTAAATAAAATTAAACCATTTATTTAAAAAAAATTAATGATCTCTATCATCTTTTTCTCTAAAGTTTTTGAGCTCATCATCATAAAATTAGTTGACTGTCCAAAAAATATGTACAGAAAATAAATGGCCTGCAGATAGGAAAGGAAGTTATAAAACTCTCTTATTTCCAGATGGCATGATCATCTATGCAGTCTTATGGATCCACACAAAAAAAATTAAAACTAGTAATTGAGTTTAGCAAGATTGTATAATGCACAATTAATAAACTAAAATGAACTATTATTCTATACACAAAAATGAAAAATAAAAAAATAAGAATTGGAACTTTCATTATTTTTTTTGCTATAGGGTGTGTGCACTCGCCAGAAAGAGAGAGAGAGAGACAGAGAGATAGAAAGCAAGAAGTCACCCCCCCAGGGAGGATGGCCACACCGCAATCCCTTCTCCATTCTCCTCTTGGGATCTTGGGCACACATACACACGCGCCTGGCATGAGTTTAAGCCACCGAGTCCAGGACTCGAACTGTGGTTGGCTACATGGGAGTTCAGCGACATAGCCATTACGATAACTGCTGGTCCCAAGAATTTGAACTTTTACAAATGTGATATAAAATAGCATCCAAAATATTGAATACTTTTCTTATTGCACAGGCTAGAATTTCTGGTTCAATATTGAACTGAACTGGCAAGAGGCTGCATCCTGCTTCCTTCTAGTCTTGTCTTTTACCATTTAATATGCTATTCACTGTAGGTTTTGCAGTTGCCTATTATGAGACTGAGAAAAACTTTTTCAATTCTTTGTTTGCAAAGAGTAATCAAAAATGAATGGTTCATTATGTCAAATGAGTTTTCTCTATTGGCTGAGATGATTAGTTTTTCTTTTTTTAGGTTTTTAATAAGGGGAATTACATTAATCTCTGAATGTTAAACCAACCTTGCACTTCTTAGGAAAATTCTACTTGATGATGACATATTATTCTTTTTATATATTATTAGATTAGATTGGTCAAATTTTGTTAAGATTTTTTTTCTATCTATATTCATGAGGGATGTTAGTCTATAATCTACTTTTTAAAAATAATGTCTAATTTTGATGTAATAATGTTGGTCTCATAAAATGAGGACTTCCTCCTCTTTAATTTTCTGTTTGGTAGACATGAGTAAAATCACCTGGACCTGGAATTTTCTTCATAGAAAACAATTTAATGAAAATTTCTTTCTTTCTTACAGATATAAGACTATTCAAATTATCAATTTGTTTTTGAGTGGGCTTTGGTAGTTTGTGTCCTTCCAGGAATTTGTCCAAGAGAATTGTGGAATTTGTTTGCATTTATTTGAGTTGAAGGAAATGCTTTTATAAAGTTATTTTACTATTCCTTTTTTTTTTTTTTTTGGAGAGGTTTTTGCTATAGGGCACGTGCGCTTGCCAGACAGACAGAGACAGACATAGAGACAGAAAGCGAGAAATCACCCCCCAGGGGGGATGGTCATGCCACAATCCCTTCTCCTCCATTCTCCTCTCAGGATCTTGGGCACGTACACACACCAACCCGGAGTGAGTTTTAAGCCACTGGGTCCAGGACTTGAACCACGGTCGACTACGTGGGAGTCCAGCAACATAGCCATTACGCTAACTGCTGGTTCCCATTATTCTTTTAATACATGTAGACTGTGTAAAAATGTCAATATTCTTGAAGATTTTTTAAAAAGAATTATTATTTTATTTAACTTTATTTATTTATTTAAATTTTGACCAAAGAGGGACAGAGCAAGAGCAGAATGAGAGAGAGAGAGAGAGAGAGAGAGAGAGAGAGAAAGAGAGAGAGAGAGAGAAAAGAAGCCACAACAAGGTCTGGGACTCCAACCACCATTGGCCATGTGGGAGTCCAGCACCCTTAACCAGCATGCCACCTGCTGTTCCCTCATTGTAGATATTAATAATTTGTGTGTCTTCTTTTTTCTTGCTTAGATAGTCCAGAGGTTTTCAATTTTGTTGTTCTAAATGAAGCAGCTTGGATTTTATCAATTTTTTTCTTCTTTATTATTATTTTGTCATTTCTGGTCTTTTGTTATATGAAGTATGATTCGTGGTTGATTTTTATTTATTTATTTTTTAAATTTTGCCAAAGCTTGTGTGTACTTGCTAAAGAGAGACAGAGAAAGAGACAGGGAAAGTGAGAAAGGACTCTTCCCCACATGGAGTTGACTAGGCCACAATGCCTTCTCTTTTCCTCCTTTCAGGATTTTGGCCATGTATGCACACGTCTGGTGCGTTTTTCAGTCCACTAGGTCCAGGACTCAAACTGTGTAGCTGGCCATGTGGGATCAAGCTGCTTTAACCACTATGTCACTGGCTACTCTCATGGTTGTTTGTTTTTTTTTGAGAAAGATTTTTGCTATAGGGTGTGTGCACTCACTAGAGAGACAGAGAGACAGAGAGATAGAAAGCGAGAAATCATCCCCTCTTGGGGATGGCCACACTGCAATTCCTTCTCTTTCATTTTCCTCTCAGGATCTTGAGAATGCATGAACACGTGCCTGGCATGAATTTAAGCTACTGGGTCTGGGACTTGAACTATCTAGTCAACTACATGGGAGTCCAGCAATGTAACCACTATGCCATCTGCTGTTCCCTCATTATTGATTTTTTTTTAAAGCTCATTTCTATATTTCTTCTATGAGAGAGAGGGAGAGAGCAAAAGAGACAAAGAGGGAAAGCACCCCCAATGGGGGCCTGACGCTTTGACTTAGTCCTATCATTTTCAGCCAGTACCACATCGTGGCCACAAAAATAGATGCCTAGCATACCCAAAGCTTCCAAACTTGAATCTGGAACTTTCTCACATAAGACTGCCTTGAAGATCATCACATATGCTTTGTATCACTTGAATTCTTTTTACTTTTTTTTTTTGGAGAGATTTTCACTGTAGGGTGCGTGCGCTCGCCAGACAGACAGAGAGAGACATAGAGACAGAAAGCGAGAAATCACCCCCCAGGGGGGATGGTCACGCCGCAATCCCTTTTCCTCCATTCTCCTCTCGGGATCTTGGGCATGCACACACAAGCGCCCAGCGTGAGTTTTAAGCCACCGGGTCCGGGACACGAACTGTGGTCGACTACGTGGGAGTCCAGCGACATAGCCATTACGCTAACTGCTGGTTCCCAATTCTTTTTACTTTTTTTTAAAAAAAATGTTTCTTTCTTTCTGTCTTCTGTGAGAAAGAGAGAGACACCCCAATAAGATTTTTGCATCATAATTCACCCCCAGTTTCAGCTAGCCCAGAAGTGGGTACACGCATGTGCAGCCATCGTCATCAGGAGGTCCTGGAACATGAACCCAGGACCTTTCCCATGTGGCTCTATCATGTTACTGTTGCACCACCACCTGGCCTTACATGAATTCTTCTTAACTTTATTAAGACTTGCATTGTGGCTCAATACAGTCTACCTTGGTAACTTTTCAGATGCATTTGGAAAAAGTGTATATACAGCTATTGATATGTGGAATCTTCTATAAATATCTACTAGGTCAAATTGGTTAATAATGCTATTAAAGGGACCACTGGATGGCATAATGATTACATTACTGGACTCCCATGTAGTCAACTGTGGTTCAAATCCCGGACCCGGTGGTTTAAACTCACGCTGGGTGCGTGTGCGTGCGTGCCCAAATTCCCAAGAGGAGAATGGAAGAGAAGGGATGGTGGTGTGGTCATTGCCCTGGGGGGTGATTTCTTGCTTTGTTTCTCTCTGTCTCTCCAGTGAGCACACGTGCCCTACAGCAAAAATCTCTCTTTAAAAAAATAAAACAAAACAACAAACTCATGGTGGGCACATGTGCATGCGTGCCCAAGATTCTTTTTTTTTTTTTTTTTGTTTTTGCATGCGCTTGCCAGACAGACAGAGAGAGACAGAGAGACAGAAAGCGAGAAATCATCCCCCAGGGGGGGATGGTCACGCCACAATCCCTTCTCCTCCATTCTCCTCCTGGGATCTTGGGCACGCATGCACACGCGCCTGGTGTGAGTTTTAAGCCACCGGATCTGGGAAGCGAACTGGGGTCGACTACGTGGGAGTCCAGCAACATAGCCATTATACCAACTGCTGGTTCCCTCATGCCCAAGATTCTGAGAGGAGAATGGAGGAGAAGGGATTGTGGCATGGTCATCCCCCTATCGGGTGATTTCTCACTTTCTGTCTGTCTCTCCTGCAAGCACACACACCCCACAGCAAAAATCTCTCTAACAAAAAAAGAAAATATGTTTGCTGACTATTTGTTCTATCAGTGTTTAATAGAAGGGTGTTGAGATTTCTAAGTATAATGCAGATTTTGTGGGAGGGAGGGAGGGGAACGGGGGGGGGGACAAACAATACTTTTAATTGAAACAAAAATAAAGTTACTTGCTGATGGTAATATCTATGGTAATGTTTGTGTCTTGACTGATATGCACTGTATTCTTGCTGGGGAAAAGGGTATGTTGTACAATGTAAAGATGTATAGTGATTAAATGTAAATTATACATATATAAATATAATGCAGATTTGTCTATTTCTCTTTGCAGTTTTTGATAAATTAATTCCTTTATAATTACAAAATAACCCTCATTATCCTCAGTAATGTTCTTTGCTCTGAAGTTTACTTTGATTTCCCTAAACTATCTACCTTTAAGTATTAGTATGCACCATTTAAAAACCTTAAAATAGGGGCCAGCAGGTGACATAGTGGTTAAGCCACTAGACTCCTATATGGTTGACCGTGGTTCGAGTCTGAGACCTGGCAGCTTGAAACTCACACTGGGTGTTTGTGTATGCATGTTCAAAATCTCGAGAGAAGAATAGAGAAGGAATTGTGGCATGGCCATTTCCCCTTGGGGGTTGATTTCTCACTTTCTTTCTCTCTGGTGAGTGGATATGCCATATAGAAAAAATTTCTCTAAAAAAAAAAAACAAAACTTTAAAATAACAATATAATACCTTTGTTTTTTCCTTTCTGGCATTTTGGCTATTATTTTCATAGATTTTACTAATACTTTTGTTATAATCCCTACAGTATAATGTTATTTTTTTTCTTTAAAAAAGGAAATTATCTTTTAAACATATTAAAAATGTCAAAAAATTATCTTATCCTAGCTCAGATAGTTACTATTTTTGATACTCTTCATTCTTCTGTATAAATCCAGATTTCCATCTGGTATCACATTTTTCATTTAGTATCACATTTTTTTTTTCTGCTTGAAGGACTTTGTTTAATATTTCTTGTAATGCAGATCCTTTCTTTTTTTCCCTAAAAAAGTCTGAATTTTCTCTTCATTTTGAAAAGGCATTTTCCTGCATGTAGTGTTCTAGCTTGAGGTGTTTTTTCTTTCTTTTTTTTCCCCCCGTTCAGTACTTTAAAAATAGCACACCATTATCTTCTGGTTTTCATCGTTGCTGCTAAGAGGTTTGTGGTTTACTCTCTTTTTTTCTCTATACATATTTTGTCAATTTTCTCTGCCAGCTTTAATATTTTTCTCCTTATCACTTATCGTGTTTTTTGGGTTTGGAATTTATTAAGCTCTTAACCTGTGGGTTTCTAGTTTTTATTAAATTTGGATAATTTAAAAAAAAGAATGATTTCTTTAATTTTATTCACCTATTTATTTTTTAAATTTGACCAGAGAGAGATTGAACAAAAGAATGAAAGAGAGAGAGAATGAATGTGAGGAAGTAAGCTTTCAGGTTTGGAACTCAAACCATGGTCAGCCGTGTTGGAGTCCAGCGTCCCGGCCATTACACATCTGCTAGCCCCCAAATTTGGAAAAATTTTACTATTATTTCAAGTATTTCTTGCCTCCTTTGCTTTTCTTTTTATAAGACCATATGGGCATATGAAATATAATTACAAATGTTTAATGACTACTAACTCTAAATTTCTGGGTCTAATTTTGAAAGAATTATTTACTTAATTTTATTATTGTTATTACTATTTTCAAAATTTGTTAGAGGGCGCATGTGAGAGAGAGAGAGAGAGAGGGACAGAAAGTGAGAAAGCCAGCTGCCAGGTCTGGGACTTGAAGTATGGTTGACCATGTGGGAGTCCAGTGCATTAAACACCATAACGCCTTCTGGCCCTTCTGGGTCTATTTTTATAATTTTTTTCCCCTTCATTTCATGTACTATTTTTGTGCTTTTTTGCTACCCTTGTGATTAAAAAATTTTTTTTAAAGAGATTTTTGCTATAGGGCATATGTGCTTGCTGCAAAGACAGAGAGACAGAAAGTGAGAAATCACCCCCCAGGGGGATGGCCATGCTGTAATCCCTTCTCCTCTATTCTCCTTTTGGGATCCTGGGTATGCATGCACACGTGCACAGTGTGAGCTTCAAGTTACCAGTTCTGAGACTTAGGCTGCGGTCAGCTACATGGGAGTCCAGCGACGTAACCATTATGCCATCTGCTGGTTCCCCCAATATTTTATTTTTGAGAGACTTTTGCTACAGAGTATATGAGGTCACTAGAAAGACATACAGAGACAGAGAGAAAATGAGAAATCACCTTCCCCCAGGGGGATGGCCACACTACAATCCCTTCTCCCCCTGGGATTTTAGTGGGCATGCACACACATGTGCCTAGTGTGCCTTTCAAGCTGTCAGATCCGGGACTTGAACCATAGTCAGCCCTGTGGGAGTCCAGGACCTTAATCAGTACACCACTTGATGGTTCCTGTTTCATTGTTTTTAGTGTCTCTCTCTGTTACAAACTTCCTGCCACAGCCTCCCAAGTAGCTGGAACTACTTGGTGTACACCACCATGCCTAGCTTTATGGGGTGGGCCAGGAATCAAACCTGGGCTTTCCATGTGGTCTCTGCCTGCCAAGTAGCTATGAAGGACGACATACATAAAAGGAACGAGTTGTGTCTAATAAATTGCTGGTACTAGAGAGGGCAGAAGATGGGGTTTGGGGGCGGATAATTCATGGGCTTCAGACAGAAGAGACTGAGAAGAGTGGGCATGAAGACAGTGGTAACAGCTAAGGGTTATTCAGTCTGAAGTATCTGTCAGACCCAAGGAGAGGAAGGGAGATTGTTTGGAAGAAAACAGTGAGCCAAGGATAGGTGTGGATGATATGGCTGCTGGAGGTTAAGGGGAATGAGCTAACATAGAGGGACTAGAATGAGGGGTTTCCAGTTGTCAGAGGTTACAACTGGAAAACAGACAGGGGGCTAGTGAAACTTGAAAGGCTGGGAAGAAGGTTGAGACTCAGGGAATGGGATGGCTAGAAGAAGGGCGGGTTGAAGTGAGATGAAGATGAATAATGTGTTATGAAAGGATGCTATGCAGAACATTTAGAGTGGGGGTCAAGGCCCCTAGTAGGTACTGGGTATATTAAAAGAAGGGAGGCTGACTTAGGATAGAAAAATGAATCTTAATGTGTGAGTAGTACTGAGCGGTATCAGCTCTAAGGAGGTTAAAGTAGGTGGTCTGAGGGCCCAGCAGGTGGCGTGGTGGTTGGGGTGCTGGATACTCCTACATGGCCAGCCACAGTTTGAGTCCTGGACCTGGTGGCTTGCTTTCTGGTTTTCCTTCTTTCTTTCTCTCTGTCTCTCTCTGGATAAATTAAAATAAATGAATGAATGAATGAAGTTAAATAAACTTTTTTTTTTTTTTTTGTTAAAGCAGGTGGTTTGAGGCTTGGGAAGACCAAACAGAGGAATAAGCACTGCCTGCCCAAGTGACAAGACTACTTGGAGTGTCCCCTGGGACTGGAGGACAGGGTAGAATCTTCTAGGGCTTTTCTGCATTCAGGGAGTGTTGTGCATTTATGCTCTTACATGACTCAAACTCATCTTGGTTATCATTCGTGGTACCTGTACTATACTTTCCAAGGCACTGTTTCAGTCCTTGGCTTGTCTTATAGAAAAAATAATGTAACATTCCCGTAAGATTATTTTTTGTTCTGCCTCAACAAGGACTTCTGACATCAGTGTAGACTCCTCCTTAGAGTCTCTCAGTGAGACAGTGAAGTTTGGGAAAGACATGTTTTATAAACTTAGTGCCACAGTAACATTTTATTGCAAATAAGTTGTAAACTTTATAAGGATTAAGTCAAAATTGGATAACATGTGGGCAAAATCTGTTAACAGTTAGGCCTTTACCTCATGGTGGATGCGCTCCTCAGACTGGCCAGTAAAGACTGACTTGATGCTACTCGTTGCATACAGAGGAACTGATCCGGTATTTCTTTCAGTAGAATATGTCATTGACTCCATCTGCTCATCAGCTGTTTTGATATCCTTAAATAAAGGATATACAGGTTATTACTAAAATAATACCTTAAAAATTCAAAGGAACTTTATTAAGCATCTCCTTAAAATGGTTATTGCCTTTGCTATTCAATGTGGCATATTCTCGTGCAGTTCTTGCTGAACAGTTTTCAGGCTTGATATAGAACTAAGTCTAACTCATACTCAAATGTTAGTGACTGACAATAGCTTATTATGCCTTCTTTTCCAAAGATCTGTATAATTAGCCAGAGAAAACAATATCTTAATCTAAAATAATTATACCACTAGCAAGGACAGATCTTAGTAAAAGATTTTTGAAACAGATGTTAGTTAGTCTTTCTGATCCCCCCTCTTCCTAGCTTCTTCTAGAGCGTCTATATTTATAACAGAGTTAGGCGCTTACATGTGAGGCTGGTCCTGGCCTTAGAGAGGCTTCAGGAGATAAGAATGTTTTCCACACCTACCACAGCTGCCCACTGCAAACTGTGATCAAAAAGCAAAATTGACAGGGCCAGCTCTCAAAGAATAAGAAATTCCAAAGAAATCAAATTAACCTGGAAGAAACAAGTTCTTAACTATAATAGAGTGCCTAGATTTAGTTTTTCTTTTAGTTTCAGTGAACTAAAGGGACTATATTCTCTGTTCATCTAAATGTGGTATGAAAAGGACACTTAGGAACTTTGTGACTTCCCATGAAGAGATGGGAGGAGGAGGACAAGAGAGGAACCTAGGTAGGATGATGGAGGCTCAGAGAAGAATGGGGAGAGGAGATAGAAAGACTTAGGTAGGTTTAGGTGTACAAGAAGAATGTGTTCATGTAAAACTTCCCAGAGACACTGAGATTCTTTGATAAACTTAGCAACTGTTAGTCATTTAAAAGTATAGTGAACTTTAGCCATGTACCATCCTAACATCTTTTATCAGACCTTCCTTCATGTCATGTTCTTCTCCTTTCTTTTCCTATAAATGTATCTACATGAAAAACATACCTTATTTGGCTTTTTTCCCCCTCAAGAGTTATTTACTTTGTAGCAAGTTTAAAATAAAAGTTTGGGGGGGCCAGGAGGTAGCATGGTGTTTAAGGCACTGAATTCCCATATGGCCGACCAAAGTTTGAATCTTAGACCCAGAGGTTTAAAAATCACAACAAATAAGTAAATAAATAAATTTATATGTTGGGGAACCAGCAGTTAGCGTAATGGCTATGTCGCTGGATTCCCACGTAGTCGACCGCGGTTCGTGTCCCGGACCCGGTGGCTTAAAACTCACGCTGGGCGCATGTGCGTGCATGCCCAAGATCCCGGGAGGAGAATGGAGGAGAAGGGATTGCGGCGTGACCATCCCCCCTGGGGGGTGATTTCTCGCTTTCTGTCTCTATGTCTCTCTCTGTCTGTCTGGCGAGCGCACGCGCCCTATAGTGAAAAAAAAATGTATATGTTAAAAAACACAAAACTATGGGGTCAACTGGTGGCTTGGTGGTTAGGGTGCTGGATCTCACATGGCTGACTACGCAGTTTTAGTCCTGGACCCGGTGGCTTGAAAGACATGCCAGATATATGTGCATGCATGCCCAAATTCCGGAGAGGAGAGAAAATTGTAGTGTACCCATCCCCTAGGGAGTTGCTTTCTCACTTCCCCCTCTTTCTCTCTTCCTATATGTCTCTCCAGTGAGCGCATGTACCCTATAGCAAAATTTAAAAATAAAACTTTGACCTTTTCTCATAATCAATTTTGCTATGAAGGTGCTTTAACATGTCAAGGACAATTTATTTTCCTGAGAAGGCTGCTAGACAAAATAATGACCACAGTGTTTTGGTATGTGTATATCTTTACCTGTTTTTATTTATTTCATTTTCACATAGATACTCACTGAAGGAATATGTCTGTATATAATCATGTATAGTCTAGATAAACAATTACAACATTAACCTCCATGGTTTGACTGGATAATACGAATGCTATAAAAATACCACGACAACAATTCTAGGGACTCACCGTAAATTAGCTCATTTAATATTCACAAAAATTCATTAATAGGTTACTATTATTTTCCCCATGCTAGAGATTAGAAAATTGAGGCACAAATGTTTTAAATAACTTGCCCAAGGTCTTAAAACAATTAAGTGGCAGAGTCAACATGCAGTGATTCCAGAACTTGTGATCTTAACCATGTTTCTAGGCTGCCTCTCAGGTTTCTCTGAGGAGCGTTAACACTGTAATACTAGAGACGGTCATAAATTCTCATACATCCACTCACTTTGACACTACAGGCAACAGCAGCAAGTACGTGTGATCAGTTCCAAAATGGAGTTATTTGTTTATGTAGATATCTTGTAGGTTTACTCTACAGTACCCATGACATGAAGGGACTATGACATGTAATGTGCTAATGAAAAATCTGTGTGCACTCCAGTAGGGTGGATCTTATGGCATGCAGAAGAGTTTGCCATGTGCCTCTAAGATTATACCTCCTCTTGATTATCCAGTATGAGGTTTCAGATGCACCTGTGAGTAGATGGTATGTGCACAATGTGGATTTATGGATGTATTTTCACTCAGAGGGTATGTATAGAGTGCACTGTGTACCAGGCACTGTGTTAAGTGCTTGCTACACATTAAGTCATAACCCTTCTGACTGACTTCCAGGAACTTTCAGGATCTGACCCTCATTACCCAACACTTTCCCATGACCTCCTCAACACTCTTCTTTACACATATAAGGCTTGTCTTCTTTCTGTTTTAGCTGCGCACCATGTTCTTTTTACATTCATGCTGCTATTCCACTGACCTGGATTTCTCCTCCATCTCCACCTCCATCTTCCACCTTGTAGCCTTCAAGACTTCTTCTATGAAATTTTCCATGGGTAATCTCTAACCACTCGCCCCTCCATCAATCTTGCTTCTTCTATACTTATAACATCTGTCTGCACTATTTCACATTTCGATGCTAGTTAACTTATAAGTCTTTAAGTGAGGACTGTGTGTTATAGTTCTTAAAAATCATATCATAGTGAGTTAGATTGTCTAGGATCTGCCTATACAAACTTTGAAGCCTATTTGTAATGTGTCTGGCAAATATCAGGTACACACACACAAACACACACACACATAACACACACACGTATACACACACTCACAAGTTCTTTTTAAAAAAAGTTTATTCATTTATTTTCATAAGACAGAGAGATAGTGTCAGAGAGAGAGAGAGAGAGAGAGAGAGAGAGAGAGAGAGAGAGAGAAGCATCTTCTATGGAGCAACCATGATCCTCTCCCCAGCTCCCCAGCATTCCAGCCAGCCAGGATCATGGGTATACATCTGCATGCCCAATATGTACAGGTCAGCCTAGGAATTCAACCCTGTCTTCCAAATGGCTTTCAACACTGGAGAGTGTTGTGCTAACATTGCACCACCATGCCTGAGCCCCTATTAGCTCTTTAACCTTCATCATATTGTTTAGCACAATGTTGAGGATCATAGACTTAGCCAATTTTTTCACCTAAGAACTATAAACAAATGATTGATTTGTGAAGTTAAGATTATAATTTGAGACTTCTGTTTTCTAGCATGATAAATGTTAAAAAAAAAAGTACTGTGACTAAGGAGTTCTTCTCCTAGGTAAACAACTAGTAGAAGGATATTATGTCATGTAAACATTACCTGTGACATTGCAAGTGAATAATATAGACCTTGCTTTGCCATTAGTTCAGCATGTGTTCCTTTTTCCACCACCATTCCATCTTTTATGGTCACAATCAGATCTGCACTTCGAACAGCGGAAAGTCGGTGTGCTACCACGATTGTAGTCCTGCCCTTGCTTGCCTACAGAAATAAGTACAGAAAATAAATAAACAATTAGTAGAAATAACAACCTCTGAAGTATTCGAGAAAAAGTCTTGTTGTAAGTGTAATTAACAAATTTAAAATTTCCACAGAATAAGTGCACTCATCAGAGAGAGAGGGGAAGAGGAAGAAATCACCCCTTAACAGATGATAGTCATGCTGCAATTTCTTCTCTTCCATTTCTCTATTCTGTCTAGATTTGGGGCATGCATGCACACAAGTCTGGCATGTTTTTCAAGATGCCAGGGCTAGGATTCCTTTTTTTTTTTAAGAATTATTTTATTTATCTATTTATTTAATTTATCTTTTAAAATTTTACCAGAGAGGGACAGAGCGAGTGAGACAGAGTGAGTGAGAGAGAGAGAGAGAGAGAAAGAGAGAGAGCAAGTCGCCAGGTACAGGACTCGAACTGTGGTTGGCCATGTGGGAGTCCAGTGCCCTTAACCACCACACCTCCTGCCGGACCCAACCAGGGTTAGGATTCTAACTATAGTCAGCCATGTGGGATCTAGCTCTCTTAACCACTAGCCAACGTAGCTGGCCCAATTTAAAAACTCAAAAAAAAAAGTTTATTTATTTACTTCTTTTTGAGAAAGAGAATATGCGAGAGAGCGAAGTACCCTTAACAAGGTCTTACTCTGTAATCCTCCCACCAGCCATACAGGATCATGGACATGCATGCACAGGGCACCATGGGATCCAAATCCTGATCTTCCATATGGACCCCAAAATTGCAGAGATTGTGCTACCCCTTTGCCACCGCAATTGAGCCTGCAGTATTATTTTAAATATCAAGAAATCTTATGTTTAGATACAAAATATTCAATTTTTTTATAGATTAAGAAGGCCGATAGAAATAAGAATAAAAAGAGCTTCAGAAAGTTAATAAGATTAGCTGCATAACTCCGAGTAACTATGTAACCTAAATTCACTATTTTTATCTTTCTACCTATTTCTTTTTCATATGTAAAATAGGAATATTACTTAATTGGTTAGATATGAATCCAAGGTAATAAATAAATTTTAACTTTTTTTTTTTTTTTGAGAGGTTTTTGCTTTAGGGCGCGTGTGTTTGACAGAAAGACAGAGAGAGGCAAAGAGAAAGAAAGTGAGAAATCACTCCCCCGGGGGATGGTCATGCTTCCATCCCTTCTCCTCCACATGTGCCCGGTGTGAGCTTAAACCACTGGGTCCGGGACTTGAACCGTGGTTGACTACATGGGAGTCCAGTGAGGTAGACATTATGCCATCTGCTGGTCCCAACTTTTTTACAAGTATCAACGCCTACTATGTGGCTATAGAATGATACTTTTTTTTTTTTTTTAGCTATTTTGCTTTAAGAGTATTCGTTTTTTTTTTTTTTTTTTTTTTAGGAGAGATTTTTGCTATAGGGTGCATGAGCTCAACAGAGAGACACAGAAAGACAGAGAGAGAGAGAAAGTGAGAAATCACCCCTAGGAGGGATGGCCACGCTGCAATACTTTTTCCTTTATTCTCCTCTTAGGATTTGGGGCAAACATGCACATGAGCCCAGCGTGAGTTTCAAGTTGGTGGGTCTGGGGCTTGAACTGTAGCTGGCCATGTGGGAGTCCAGTTCCTTAACCACTATGACACCTACTGGTCCCAGATCAATGTATTTTTATGAGCTAAATGCACCCAGGTTAAGAAATAAATCACTGTCAGAATCTCTCCTCATAACTTTTCTAGTCATTACCACTCATGCATACCTAGGGGAACTGCTATCCTGATTTGTAATGGTACAGATTAGTTATGATTTTTTTTGGAGGGGTATTTTGTATGACTGAGACTATGCAGTATACACTCTTCTATGTCTGGGTATTTTTGTTCATGTTTTTGAGTTATCGATTTTGTTGCATATAGATTCATATCATTCATTCGTATTGCTGCACAGTATTCCACTGTGTGATTATATTGCAATTATTTATCCACTCTGTTCTTGATTGATAGTTTGTTAGTTTTCAGAGTTTTGCTTTGTTTTATTCTGTATTATGTACAGGTTCCTATACATGTTTATTTGGTGAACATATATACACAGTTCTACTAGTTATTTATCCAGGAGAGGGACTGCTGAGTCATGGAGTATGCTCTGCTTTATTAGATTTGGCTAAACAGTTTTTTTTAAAAAAGAATTATTTAACTTTATTTATTTGTTTCAATTTGACCAGAGAGTGACAAAAGGAGAGATAGAGAAAGTGAGACAGCAAGCCACCAAGTCCGGGACTCGAAACATGGTCAGCCATGTGGAGTCCAGCACCTTTAACCATCAGAGTCCAGCACTTTTAACCATCATGCCACCTGCCAGTCCCCTTTTCTTTTATAAATTATTATTTAACTTTATTTATTTATTTATTTATTTCAATTGATAAACAGTTTTTTGAAGTGGCTATCCCAATTTATAAACTTGAACTACACAGGATAGTCATGGTTGCACTATATTCTCACCAATAGTTGGTATCTTTTGTCTTTCTGTAGTGGGTAAGTACTACTGTACTGCAGCCAATATTTGCATTTTTCCAGGTAACTGATACAGTTAAACAAGTTTTCATAGGATTAGTGACAATTTGTAATTATCTCTTGTGAAATGTCCAAATGTTTTGCAAATTTTTAAATTGAGAATGTCTTTTTCTTGGCAATTCTTTTTCTTGGCAATTTTCAGGAGTTGTTTATGTATTGCAGATAAAAAGATTTTGTGAAATACCGTGTATTGCAATTTTTTTCTTCTTTATATGGTTGCTTTTTCACTGGTGTTTTAAAAAAATTTTAAATTTAATTTTATTTATTATTTTTAACTTTGACCAGAGAGAAATAGAGAGAGAGAGAAAGCTGGCAGGTTTGGGACTTGAACCGTGGTCAGCCATGTGGGAGTCCAGTGCTTCAACTGCCATGCCACCTGTCAGCCCCACACTGGTGTCTTCTGATGAACAGAATTTTAAAAATTTAATGGAGTACACTTTATCAACTTTTCTTTTTTTTTTCTTTTTCTTTTTCTTTCTTTCTTTCTTTCTTTTTTTTTTCTTTTTACCATTTATGCTTTCATGTTCTTTTTAAGAATTTTTTACTCAGGTGCCACATAGACATTGCTGTTTTAGCTTATAATCTTCATTATTTTGCCTTTCATTTTTAAATCTATAATTCATCTGGAATTGATTTTTATATGTAATGTTAAGTAGGAGTTGATGTACATTTTCCCCATATAGCTAACCAATACAAAAATGATCACCTGATTTACGATAAAAGTATAAATCATAATCCCCTTACAAACTAGTTTCTGTTAGCTTCGAACTTTTCTTCTTCCTCACTTCTCTCACAGAATTGAAGAGTCAAGGCCTTGCTCTGTTTTAGCTTTGGCTTATGGGAATGTTGTGGCTGGTTGGATGTATCCAGATCACTAAAGCTTTCTCCATATCAGCAATAAGGCTGTTTCACTTTCTTATCATTCATGTGTTCAGTGGAATATCATTTTTAATTTCCTTGAAAAACTTTTCCTTTGCATTTGCATTCTGGCTAACTATTTGGCTAGCATTCTGCCTATCTCAGATTACGACATGCCTTCTTACTGAACTTAATTATTTCTAGCTTTATATTTAAGATCAGAGACATGGATCTCTTCTTTTTACTTGAACACTCAAGAGGCCATTTTAGGGTTAACTAGTCTGATTTCAATATTGTTTTGTACCACAGAATAGGGAGACTTGAAATATAGGAGTGAGACCAGAGATTGGTCAGTGGGTGTAGCAGTAAGAAAACACACCAACATTTACTAAGTTTGTCCTCTTCTATGGGTGTGATTCATGGCACCCCAAAACAAGTACAAGAGTAACACCTGGGAACACTGATCACAAACAGCTATAACAGACATGAAAACAATAAAGTGTGAAATATTGCAAGAATTAAAAAAATGTGACAGAGACACAGGTGAGCATACGCTGTTAGAAAATGGTGCTGGTAGGCTTGTTCCATGCAGGGTTGCCACAAACTTTCAATTGGTAAAAAACAAAATATGTGCAAAGTGCAGTGAAGTGTGGCATAATAAGGTGAAGTACAGTAAGACAAGGAATGCCTGTACCAGTAAACCTTTCTCAAAACAAATCAGTGCGCATGGAATTTAACTTAAAATATACAAGGGAACATATAATATGTTTTAAAGAGAATGTAGGGAGAGAGAATGCTGTAATCATGTGATTAGTAGGTTACAACTAGAAAAGGTCTGAGAATTGTGTGTATCCTTTTGTTCATAGACTGAGAATCACAAAGATTCCTGATAAAGGCTTATGTTATTATAGGCCTTCTCTTGCTCATAAGGGCTTTTCACGGGTATTTATATATATGTGTGTATATATATTCTCAACTATATACACACACACACACACACACACACACACACACACACACATACTTACATGTATCTTTTCCATTTTTTTAACTTATTAGGTATTACATATGGAGGAAGTTTACTTATTTTGCAAAAGTGTATGCTGTCGTCTGACATAAACACAGAGGGTGGGGGAGATAATTTCTGCAGTTGTGCCTTAATACCATTACTGTCCAGCAGGTTAAGACAGCTTGCTCTTACCTGCAGTACTGTCCGTACTATACCAGTCTCATGGTTTAAACCATTAGTATTTGATTAAAGAGGATATTATGTTACAATTTAATTTGTTATAACATAATTCAATATATATGAGCATATCAGATAAGTCACAGAAGTGACCATGGATTTTTTTTTTTTTAATTTTTGCCATAGGGCATGTATACTTGTTGGAGAGAGACAGAAAGAGTAGGAAAGTGAGAAATCAACCCCCGGGGGGATGGCCACACTGCAATCCCTTCTCTTCTTGGAATTTTGGGCATATACACATATATACACATGCTTGGCATGGTTTTCAAGCTGCCGAGTTCAGGAATTGAACTGAAGAGTTGGCCATGTGAGATCCAGCATCCTAACCACCATGCCACCT